CTTCCTTCCTTCCTTCCTTCCTTCCTTCCTTCCTTCCTTCCTTCCTTTTGTAAACAGGGTCTCTCTGTAGTCTTTGCTGGCCTTGAACTCAGAGAGCTCCCCCCTAACCCTAACCCTAGTACTAGAATTAAAGGTGTGTGCCACCATGCCCAGCTTAAAAAGAATTCTTACGGCAAAAGGAACACAGATATTACCTATTTTCAGCTTTGTAAAACATCTAGAGTAAGAGCGGTGGCCAAGGGCTGGCCATGAAAAGGGGCTAGGGAGGTCAGAGTTTAACGTCAGAGTTTAAAGTTTTAGTTTGGGAAGAAGATCAAAAGGTTCTGGAGATGTGTGTGAATATATTCAACGACACTGAATTTACCCTTAAGACAGTTAAAACTACATTTTATGTTATATAGACTTTATACACATATTTTATTGTGTTAAAATCATCAACAAGCCTCCTTACAAAACGTGGGAACTCGGAGCCAACGGAACAACTAAACCCGTTCCGCCAATCGCCGCTTGCACGCTTGGAACTGAGTAAATTAGCATGTTTGTTCCCATAGTGCTTTGCTGCATGTCCTCGCGCGAACCTGCTTAAATAAACCAATAATCTCCCTCCTACGTATCACACAGGGAGCACCATAAGATTGTAACAGGCGCTCTAATTTTCAGGCTAACAATAATCGAGGTTTTTCCCTCCTCGACTTGGAAAACCCCCTTTCTGAAACAGGACCCTCGCTTCCTAGGGACGATGCGCAGGGGGCGGTGTTCTTTAGCTTTGCGCAGTGGCAGTATCGTAGCCAATGAGGTTTATCCGAGGCGCGATTATTGCTAATTGAAAACTTTTCCCAATACCCCGCCGTGACGACTTGCAATATAGTCGGCATTGGCAATTTTTGACAGTCTCTACGGAGACTGAATAACGTTGTTTCAAAAGAAAATTGTTAACTATTTTTCTCCAGAGTGGTCTTTAACTAACTGTGACTTGACATGTCTCACCCGGCTTACTCTTTCTTGCTTTATACCTTTTCTTTTACATCTTTAGCTATTTGTTTGTTTTTATTTCCTTTTTTGCTACTTTTTGCTTTTGTTACTATTTTCTTTATAACTCTAATCTGTTAATGTTTTCTGCTCGCGATCTCAAGGTTCTGAGTTCACCTTTGAAGTTGTTTTTTTGAAGTTTCTCCTCCCTCCCTCCAACCGCCCGTCGTTTATTTAAAAGGAATCTCAGTTTTATTGACAAAAAGCATCCCTGGATAGCTGAAAACTCGCAGCTGTCCTCCTGCCCCCCGCCTCCCGAGTGCGGACGGACGCGAGTCTTTAAGTCCCCTACGAGGTCTGTTTCAAATCCTTACCCGCGTTCTCCCGCCGCGGTCGAGAGTCTCCACCCCGGCCATCGCGATGACGTTAGCCTCATTTGCATAAGAGTCCCCCAGCATCCCAAGCGACGGTTGCGCTGTTTGTAAATCACGAGCGTCCGGACGCGAGATGACCCACCGGCAAGAATCTGTCCACGCAGATGACTGCGATGGAGCTGCTGGGCTTGGGCCCGTCGCGTGGCGGTCGCGCGTGGGCAGGAGCTCACCGTGACTGTGACGCGGATCTTCAGCCCTGGGAAGCTGAGCGAGCGCTGTCGTTCGTCAGCTTTGCGCAGTGGCAGTATCGTAGCCAATGAGGTTTATCCGAGGCGCGATTATTGCTAATTGAAAACTTTTCCCAATACCCCGCCGTGACGACTTGAAATATAGTCGGCATTGGCAATTTTTGACAGTCTCTACGGAGACTGAACATCTCACGTTTAAAAGGAAGACTTTCTAGTCTAGAATG